ACGTCAATGTAAGTTCAGGCATCCATTAAACAGCTTTACTGTGTATATGTGTGACTGTGGGTGTGAGTATGTGTGTGTGCGGATGCAAGTGAAATTGTTTTACGATGAAGTTAATTAATATGATCATGATTATTGAATAACCACTCTCTCTTTACTAAGTGTCTCTTCTTGTTACAGTTAGTTACTCTTATTACAGCCACACTACATGTTCTCATAGAGTAGACAGCCACTTTCCTCCACGAACACTAACTTTTTCACATACAAAGTTAAAGACGTAAATGCTACTATTAATTATTCGGTAACACCACATACGATTTCAGTGTATAATGAATGCTTTGAAGATATTTCTAAAATTGCATTTCGTTGTTTGGTTTAGTTTTACATTTTTTATATAAAATAGTTTTATATAGAGCATTTACATACAGTTTATTGCTCGTTTTGGTGTGATATATTTTGTGTTATGTAAAGACAATGTAAATGGATATTATAAATTACATGTACTATTGTTTCTTTTATTTTGCGTTCGTATCCCAATGACAACACTCCGAAACCACAACATCATTGTTTGTTTACAATAGTGCATTTGTCACATTCAATTGAATCCGTGCGCAAAGATGATAGCCGAAAATACATCATTTAATGTCCACCAGACAGCCTATGAAGGAAGATATGAGGAACTTAAGATTAAAGTTTTAGCCAACAACAGACTCCTCACCCAAACTGATGATGTAAGTAATAGAAAGCACCTGTAAATAGGATCGTAGAAATACAGTGTCATCTTTTCATTATGATTAACCATTTACCGCGTTGACATCACATATCTTGTTGGTCTTTAGATAAAGATGGAGAAACTATAATGATACACACGAGTGGTACTGAATCAAGCCGTTACAATGGTGTACACACCTTTGGAAGTTAAACAACCTCTTACACAAATAATCTGGCAAGAATGAGTTTGAAAACTTCCATAGTTGCTTGTCATCAGAGAGCAAACAAGTATAACTTGAATATAGTCAATATGTATTTAGAAGAGCTTTTATAAGCTTTGCCTAATAAAGTGTGGGTAAATTTGCCACATTGATCAATTTGGAGTTGGAACTGATTACTGATACGGCAGAAAAGCCCCCATTTGTTGTCCTCTGCATACAAGAAACAAGATGGAGGCACCTTGACATGAGAATATGATATTACTCACAATTAGAGTAGTAATAATGATTAGGTTAGTTTCATACTTATTACTTGGAAATGACATTTATATGCATAAACATGTGTGCCATACGCCCAACTGCAAAAAATCGAATTCACTTGCTGAACACCTTAACCTCATCCTTTGAGGTTACTAGGCTTATTGATGTTTTAGTATTTTACAATACTAAGAATTGGAAGCATTCATAATCTTAGCAAAAGAGTCACAGGAGTTTTTCACTGCTATTATATTGATTATGGATTATTCAAAGCACCTAAGTAATTAGTCTGTGTATTGGTCAAGACATAAGCTGTGGTTAAATGTTGCCAAATATCTTTACAGATTTTCTTTAAAGAGGATGCCAATGTGTAAAAGCCAGTGAATTAATAAATATTTTGAAAAATCCTTGATGGTGACCATTTAGACATGTATGAAAATGCTAGTTTGAAAAAATAAGATACATTATTTAGTAAATCACATCAATCTGAAACTCTATATAATAGATTAAAAATGCACTGAATATTAAATAGTTACATATCTCCAATACCATAAGTTATACATATATTGATTTATTAATAGTTGTTAGTTTAAGTTGTTTGCTATTGCTTTTTGATGGGTGCTACTTTGTTTTTTGCCTTTCTTCTTTTAGAGTGGACGACAGGCTCTTCATTGGGCTTCATGTGGAGGACATGAGGAGATTGCAAGTTTTCTGATTGAGCATGGAGCCCCAGTCGACAGTTCTGATGATGTATGTGCTTATTTGATAATTTTATCTGCCCCTTCTTGTTTTTGCATCATCTTTAAAAAGTTCTATTATATAATTAGTTTCTCATTCTTATTAATTTTTTTTAGATTCTCGAGTCTTTTACTTTTTTTAATGTAAATATATGTCTTATCACAGTGTGGCTGGACACCTCTCATGATTGCTTCTTCAGCTGGACGAGAGCAAGTTGTCAGGCTTCTGATTGGTCGTGGAGCAGATGTTAATTTTCAGAACAATGGTGATCACTCAGCCCTTCAGTACGCATCGTCAAAAGATCACTATGAGGTAATATTGGTACCACATTCTCTAAAAAAGTCACACACACACACACACACACACAACACACACACACCACACAACACACAACACACACAAACAACACACACACACACACACACACACACACACACAACACACACACACACACAACACACACACACACACACACACACCACACACACACCACACACAACACACACACACACACACTTATATAAGTATACATACATACATGTATATATATATATATATGTGTGTGTGTGTGGTGTTGT